GGGCAGGGCGGGTTGAATTTGTTGCAGGGCAATGCTTCATCCGCCCCGCCCTGCCCTGGTCTATTGCCATCTCTAATCTTTAGTTTATCGCAACTATTAATTAGTATCTTGATTTTCACATTTTTTACTACGTCAGCAACTAATCAAACGCTCTACAATGCATATCTTTTCTTTCCAAATATTATTTTTAGTTGCTAGGTCAAGCGACTAGATTTATTACTTAGGCCACAAACAATATGATTAAAACAAATTATATCAACCCTTTGATACGATAATGTTGTGGAAATAAAGTAAAAGTAGATCACAAATTAAGCAACTAAACAAAGAATGATGAAGAATAAGAGAAAGAAATTCTTATTGATTGATCCAAGCCGCTTGACAGATGAGAAGCGATAGTGATGAGTATAGTAATTTGGCTATAGTTTAAGTACAATATACTATTTGAGAGGGGGAAATTTCTAGGATAGATACAAGTACAGTTATTCAATTCTATCTTTATATTTGTTAGGCGACATACATAAATAACGCTTTAAGTTGTTCACGATGATCAATTAGGATTTTGTCCTGATTCTCTTATCATACTTGCATTTTACCTTTTCTTAAAGGAAAGAGACTTTACCATACTTAATTTTACTTTTCCTATAAGAAAAATATAGATCTCTTCCATACTTAACAGATCTCTTTCTTGGGAGAAAACGGTGATGATCTCTATAAATTGAAAATCCCGTCTTCTTACCATGACAATAGTATTCACAATGTAGTATTCTTAGAAGTGGTTGACTCAGTCTTTTATTTTATCAAACTTTTAGATGTCAAGGATAAGAAGAAGTTGAAGTAATTCCTGCGTTCACTTCTATTCTTTATTTTGTATAACGTGTATCTCATCTCTACGTTTCCATTTGTAATATTACTTGCTTTATTATCTTTCACATATTTTCAACTTTGAATATCTCTCTACATAATTTTAAAGGGAAGACAATAGCTCCAAACTATTTAACATCAAAGAATTTGAAGGTCAGGGACTTTTATACGGAGGGAAAGAAAAAGTCGTTTGACAATTTATTTTCTTTAGACAAATACAAAAGAAGACCATTGATTATATCCATTTGAAAGTAATGTTTTCCTACTTATATATGGCTTCTTATGCTTGACTTTTTTTTTTTTTTTTTTTAAATAAGGCTCCTTTCCAATGCTCCTCTAATTGGGACTTATGACTTGAGTATTTGGATAATTTTGTACAGAGTATATCACACAATATCTCAATTTCGGATAAGTTGGAATCAGTTATATAAATCTTCATAAATTATATTGAATTAATTTAAATTCGTCTTTCTCCGGTAGGGGTATCAATGGTTCGGTTCAGACGATTATTTTCTAAAATATGTACCATACTAATTTTTCGATTATTTTATTATGTATAACCAAAATTAGACTTTTCGAAACCGTCCCAATCATATCGATTTCTCTTCGGTATCGGTACAGTTCGGATAATTTTGGATATTTTATTTAAATGTCATGTAAAAGTCACTAGTACATGTAGAATGCAATGACATGCGTACTTTTATATGACTTAATAAACTCTCTAGACATTTTTACTGTTTAAAGGCGATGATCAAAGAATATATGAAAGATGATCAAAGTATAGATCCATTAATTATTCTACAGCAGCGTAAAAGAAACTAAACAAAGATAAAGAAAAATAAATCACACGAGTAAAAATATATTAACCAAGCTGGAACTCAAGAGTAAAGTCTATAGAAGATTAAATATTCAAAAGATAAATCTAAATCATACATTTCACGGCCCAAAACTTAGCATGTCGTGATGGCGCCAAACGTGGTACTAGGCAAGCCGACACCTCAAAATATTTCCAACACTTTTAAATGAAAAATGAAATAACATAGGTTTAAATAATTTAAATTCTCATAAATTGGATAGCAAGTCAAAACTCAATACGGAAGTTCCCAAAACCAGGGTGTCACTGAGTACATGAGCGTCTACACAATACAAGTCTGAAAATACTTTCTATGAAAAAGCTGAAACTAAATACATAAAGCTGAAAGATAGGAAGGGAGAGTCAAGGTCTGTGAATGCCGGACAGCTACCTCAAAATCTCTGAATGTTCAAGTTGCTCGGATAATTAGCACCTGCCGTGTCCGACAGCACCTAGATCAACACAGGAAGTGCAGGGTGTAACGTGAATACAACTAACTCGGTAAGTAACATGACTAATTATTGGACTGAAAGTACTGATGAAGTCAGTTCAATTACAGAAATTACAATATAGGAAAAATAGGCATGCTTTCAAGTTCGACACTTAAAGCCAAGACAGTTAATTCATGTCAAGTTCAATTGAAATAGGATATGGCATCTCTCAGAAACTACATGATAGCGATAT